GGTTGGAGTTGCCCGGGCTTTTCGGGAGCGTGGGCCAGCGTTTGCGGGGTTTCTTGAGAACAAACGATGGACGAATACAGTGGGCCATACTGGTTCGAATCGAACGTGTTTGCTCGTGCGCGGTATTTTGTCTCGGAACATGCGGCGTGCATTCTGGGTTGCACAGCATCAACATTCCACAGGGCTCCTTAAAAGATACATTTTGCCCATTCGAAACATGGCTTTTTCCACCAAAATAGAGAAATGGACACCACCACCATTTATAAGGCAATGTTCAGTTGCATCATGTAAGGATCCCTGTTCCAGACCAGGTGAACTCCCTCCTGAAGAAGTTCCACATGAAGCACGGCGAGGGCAGCCACGACCAGAACTGGACCAACTTGTTCGCCACGGAGAAGAAGCAGGACGCGGCAGATCGGCCAGGCGTTTCCCAGAAACAGGCGACTGCAACTCTACTGCTATTGGGTTGGATCTTTAGACTAACTGTTTGTGAAATCAACGGATTTTGCATTAAACCCACAAAAAGTTAAGCTTTTTGCAGAGGGGTCAGCAGCAACCGAAAAACGGGAAGCATCCAAATGACTTGGTCCGGGCATGGAGTGATATGGCTTAGCATGTGTCAAAGGAGCAAAATAGGGGTTAAAGGCGGGAAGTCTAATTCGGGTTCCGAGCCTCCAAATCACAGATCGACCAAACTTCTAAAGTCCACAGATATTTTTGGAACGCGCGCCTTAGCTCACGGGTCCAACCAAATGTTGCCGCCAACCTGCGATTGGATGTTAAACAGTTTTGTTTGCATAGTACAACCGCCCGAACCTCAAGGTCCATTGCTTATGAGGTTGTTCAAATCAATGTGAGTGTCGCAATCAAAACCCGGGCAAGAGGTTAGTCAGAGACAATCCCAGCCAGAAATGGGTGCGGATATCCACCTTGGCAATTCTTTGCATGACTCTGGGATTGTGACCATTTTAATCCCGGGTTTGGGCTATGACTCGTGTGGTTGCCGATTTGAATGTGCCGTTCGGCCGCAGCTCCAGCGCTGGGGCTGTCAGATTCGTTGCTCGCTCCTTCTTGCCAAGCTCCGGAGAAGGATTGGAGACCCAGTGGCCCAGTGGGTTGCTTCCTTTCTTCGACTTTTTGTGGGAAGGGTTCCGATTCCTTTACAGTCAACCGACCACAGAAAGGATGCCCTTTTCTTTCCATGGTTACTGGGCATCTGTGGGGAGATCACGTAGAATATGTACAATGTACTCTAACACACACACACACACACACATGTCTGTATATTTGTATGGACGCTCCAAATCACTTGCTTACCCTAGAGGATATGAGAGGTTGTCTTGTTTTGGGTATGTAGTCGGTCCCATGTCCCCATGACATGCACCATAGACTACTGCAAGTTTCGGTCAAACATCACATGTGTGTGTGGCTGTGTGTGTGTGTGTGGGTGTTGTCAGCTTAGTTTTCAGGGAAAACAAGGTCAGCACCGACCCACCCAATTTCGGGGACTGTCACATGCCCATAGCAGGGAACTTTGGCCCATGAGGAGGTCAAGGAGACCGTCGAGGAGGATCCACTGGCTAGGCCTGAGCAAGGGCGAACCATGTCTGTGGTAAGCCCCGGACGTTTCAGAGCCCGTTACCCTCCAGGGATTCGTGCAAGGTTGGGCAGTGTAGTATTTTTGTTTGAACATATGGTCGTTTTGCTTTGGGGGCAAGTCCCAACTAAGTTCTGGTATTTGGTTTCCCGTTTGTAGTGGCCAGATAGGCCCGGGTGGCTTGTGAAAAGTGGAAATCCTCTCGGATGACTTTCTCTAGTGCCCGACTTCCGTTCCAGCAGCTTGAATCAAACGTCGGTTCGAAAACGGCAGGAACGCCAAGAACGTGAAGCAGGCGGAAGTTGTATCGAGAAAGGCGGGGGCATACGCGTTATTGAGGCCCCTTCTTGGAACCCTAGCAAGGTTTCTTCTTGGGTCCGCTAAATCAGCTGGTAGATGCTTAACATGGTCCACATGAATCCTTTAAGGGACCCTGAGAATTCATGTTGCGCCGCCTCGCAAGAAAATTACCCCTCCCAGGCGAAAGAACACATTTCTGGAAGGAAAACTGCGCCAGTAGGGACAGATAGAACCGCGAGAATACTGGGATAAACCACCTACCAACTGGTGTGAAGTGCCCATCCACAGCATATCATCCGGATTCGCAAGAGGTTGTGGGAAATTCATCTTGGAGTCCTACCAGAGCAGAGTTGAATGAATCCGTTTGCCCAGTTGTGTTCTTTTGCGGGGAACCAAGGCTTGGGTCGCTTCTAGAGGGAAATGTAGAGACGCTGCGGGTTGGGGAGTCCCCTCCACTTGAAGAGACACACCCACCCATGTCTCAATACATGTTTTTGTTTCCCGTAGACGGATCTGAACTTCGATCCAGGCACGTTGCTTGAGTCGCTTGTGCCTTTGTGTCTTTTTTTCGTTGATCATCTACGATTTTCCCGGTGGCGTTTCATGGGCCCCCTCCCAAAAAAAAGTGATAGAAGCCACGAACCTAAATGCAAAAGATGGCCTTGGCAATGCGCCGAGCAATGTTTTCCAGCTGGAGCCATGCTTTGTGAGCGACCGTTGTAACTGACACTTTTAGAGACGCTCCTGAGCAAGAGCTTGAGCGACAACTTGAGCGACACTTCTGACCCCGCATGCACAACGCATAACGAATAAAGGAACCAATCAAAGCAGATGATAGGCCCCAACTTTCTCAAATACTAGACAAGAATCTTTGAGAAAACTAATCTGCTCTCTTGGTGCCATGTTCGAGGGGAGGGGAGATGGCCGTTGCAGTATTGTGTGTTCCCATGAAGCGACATCAGTTTGTAGTGACCTTTGTCTAATGCTCAGCGCTCCCGTTGCGAAAGCAGGGCAAGGGCATAGAAATGTGAGTATAGCATTCTTGTCGACGGGCGCCTTTCCCCCCAGCAACGTAGAACACTGAGAAGCGCGTTGAACAAATCGACGCGTTTTTGCCCAAAAGGGCAGACATGTTTGAGCTCCGCGCGCAGATCTAGCTCTGGCTCAGTGTCTGCCGCTATGTCTGCCGAGCACCGCCGTGGGCGGTCCCTGTGAGTTTGCGCTGCGGGCACGAGCACGCCTGCCGGACAGTCTTGCGCCTGGCTTGCAACATAGACTCCCTTTTAGCCTCCATAAGTTTTTTTGTCGAGGTCCACAAGTTGTTTGTCGAGTTTGCTGCCCACGGGCCCAGCTCACTGCGCGCCTTGTCGGAGCTGCAAGACTGGTGTCGGCCTGATGAGGGCTGGGCCACCGTGACGTACGACAATTCGAGCGACGCTTGCGGAGACGTTTGTCAGGTACGCGCCCTGGTGGCCGTGGAGGCGGGCGACACCATGGCAGCCTGCCGTGGACCCTCGCACTCAGGATTCAGGATGTGCTTTGGGACGAGCAGCTGCATGCCGTGATCGTCATGCTTCAGAAAGCGGCTTGGCGAAGGGACATTCTCAAGATGTCACACACACACACACACGCGACTTGGGGCAACAAAATGGCTAGCTCGTCTTCGCTGGTTACGCAAATGAGACGCACCGCCGCAGAAGAAGACGCGTGGTCTCTTTCGGAACGTAGGGCGCAGTCACTAGCGCGCGGCCATAGAATTGCGCCTGCTTTCCGAGAGGCTTCAGCTGCTCCAAAGCGCTTCTGTTCAGGGCGGACGCGTGCGGCAATAAGCTTCGTTCTTGACATGTGGGGCAGCTCATTTCTTTCTTTCTTTGCGCGGTTCATACGCGGGGCCTCCATTGGGCTTGGGCTGTTGGAGCTGGTTGTTTCAGGGTCTTTCGGAAGCAACGCTTGAGCGCCACGCGCTCCCGGGTAAGATCTGGTTGGACTTTCTAGCGCAGGATCATAGGCTTGGGCCGGGGTTATATATCTCACAGGCAGACGTCGCAGAAAAGAGCTCTGTGCATTTGCATCGTTGCACCCACAAGCGCGCTCCTGCGCTGCAAAACCGGAGCAAACCCGACAGCCCAGAAGATACCCACAGTTGGTCTCTAACAAAAAACCACTTCTGCGGCCCCCCGGCAACAACAATCAGCGCCGCTCGTGTCCAACAAGTCTAGTCTAACGCGAGGAACGCACTTCGATGAACATCTACACAATGGCAGCAGCGGGCACCTTTTTTTGAGACGCCAGCCTATGCAAGCCAACTCTACAGACATGACAATGGGCAGCTTGGATGGATGCGCTATACAAGCCCCGTCGCAATAACGTTTACACATTACCCAGCTAAGGTTGTCAGTCAGTAGCACGCCGGCAGGCTTCGATGACCTGCCCCAAGGGAGAAACCTTGCGAGGTAATACTTCACTTTGAAGCACTTAGCACACTTGGAGGCCCTTACTTAGACATCCACTCCTCACTAACATTCTTTGTGGACATGTCTGAGCCTGGCGGATGCTCATAATTCGCTTGGTGTCAGCTGACGGAGCTTTTCGGAACGCGTAGGCTCATAGGTCAAAGAAGCTGGGCCACTGAACGGCCGCTTTGGAGGAATGTGCGTTTGACACTCCTTTTTGTAGCTGCCGAGACGCTGCGGTCTGGGAGCAGTAAGGCAAAGGTGTCGCTAACGGGGGGCGTGCGAGTGTCTTGACTGTTCGGAGTCGGCTTGCTGTCCAGGACTAAGTTTTGTTTGCGGAGGGGCCCTGGTGCGACGCAGTTGTGTTGACTGAGAGTCACGGCTTCTGCGAATCGAAGCTCTTGCTTGTCATTGCAAGTTTCTGCACGCATGTTGCTTTTGCTCCAAGCCAACGAAAGCTCGGCGCACACATGGGGCCACGCGTATGCCGGCGCGGCTGTCCATGCGTCGGAGGCATGGCTCTTGCAGCAGGGGCAATCTTTGCGCAGGAGCTCAAGGCCTGTCGCCGGATCTTCAGCGTGAAAACATGAAGCAAGAGCGCAGCTAGTAACCTTGCTAAGGCACACGTTGACTGTTGACTGAGCATTGGTTTTGGCTTCGTGCCAGGTATGCCAGCGCTTGCCGACTGCCATACTGCTGAGCGACAAACTACTGCAAACTAAGCGACGCTTCTACACGCGCATAAGCGACACCTCTCCTGAGCCGACAGTTCCAGCGACAATTCTACACCTGTCTGAGCGACGTGTTTGCGACACCTCTGACCAACACCTCTGACACCACCTCTGGCGACACTTCTAAGCCACACTTCCACACACACACCAGCCACACTTCTGAGTGACACTTCTGAGCGACATTTCTGCACACATATGAGCGACGCTTCTGCCATATGGTCCGGGGAAGTTATGCTAAACATATGTTACTTACGGCACATATCATATAAGTAACTTACTCGGAACTAGCGAAAAGTAGTACACAGTACTCAACATATAGTGAGTTTATAAGTTACTTGTATGTTCCCCCCCCCCCCCGGCTCTGCCGGGACACCTGTTTTTCTTGCGCAAGCTCAAGCGTAGTTGCCCAATGTCATTTTGACGTGGCGTTGACATGTTGGTCCAAGTTGCGCCGGCTTCACAACGATAACCTTTTTCATTTGGGTAGAGCCAGATGACTGATGGGGGACTCACAAATTGTCCAGCAAAAAGCCGTTGACTCACCAGATTTCCCATATCCTCTTGGATGAACACGTCATATCTTTTTGAAGGTAGCTCATATATGAGAACCAACCTAGATCCCAAGTTGCTGAATTTGTCAGTCGTTGTTGCTGGTTTTTGGGACAAAGTGCATGGGAAAAACAACAAAAACAGCAACTGGCGATTCAGGAAGTCGCCAAGCGCGGGACATGTTTTCTCGTGTTTTGCTGCTGTCATTTGTGGCAGACGCCTTGCAGGCAGTATCCAGAGAGGAAACGCTGATCAATCGGATGCGCAACTTCGCCTCGGATCTCGTTGGAGTCACCAAGGAGCTGCCAGCCATATTTTTCGGACCCCAAGGGGGGGGATTGCCAAAAGGAGTTTCTTTGTGTTTTTCTCCAAGGATTTGTCCAGTGTGGCAAGATGGGCTTGCGCAAGAAGCATTCCATCCGACGAGAGCACTACATTGGGACATGCTCGGGCCCCGCTCCACGGAAACCAACATGACAATCGCCAAGCATTTGGGTGTGTCTCTTTTTGAGGTACCCGGTTTTGAGGGATTCTAAAAGGAAAACCCACCCCCTTTGTTTTTTTGGGGGGGGTCACCATTGAGTCACACCCATTTGGAAAGATTCGACTTGAGTTGGCTCATTCCAGGGACCAACCTTCCACCCAAGCTGGTCCGAGTCTTTTGGGGTCTTTGTGGCCTTTTGAGCCCTGAAGAAAGCAGTCGACATGGGATAGGAGCGGCTTTCCGACCTTGCAGGTCTTTGTTCCAAGGATCAACTCATGAAAGGCAACCTTCAGGTAGCGAAAAGGGGGTCGCCTTGGTGGTGTCCCAATAGAGATGGGTCCATTCAATGTGGCCAAGCCGTGCATTTTAAAAAGTGCGAAGAAGGGCCATGTGCGAGCCAAGCGGCTGATGGCTGATGATGGAATCCCTATCCCTGCGGCAATTGGCCCAGAAGTGGGTCCAACTGCGCCGGGCCGCGACGGGCCACACCCCGTACAAGCAATTTGTTGGGTGCTGGAAGTTAATTTTTCCTAGCCCTCTTGTGGGTTGCATGGAGCGGCCGGGAGGGTATATCCTTCCAAAATTCATAGTGGAGCTTAGGGCCCCTCTGAAGAAACCAGCCTCTTCACTTTAAGTCACCGCTCGACTGCAGTTAGGTTTTAGGTGTGTGTGTGTGTGTACAGATATAAACATATATACACATATTAATATTAATATATATTGCCGGACTGATTTGAACCGCCCCAACTTTGATGTCCCGGCCAGGTCTTATACTGTCCGAGTAGCATCGCGCTACTTGATACCATCGCCTAGAAACATATATGTCTAGTTAGTTGCTCATTTTCCTCATCGGCCGGCTCCCGGGCCCCACTCATCCCTGAGGAGCAAAACAAACTGCTGGACTGGATCTCCCACACAATCACCGAGCGCGGGCAAGGCATCACCGAAAAGGACGGGGCGGACAGGATGCAAAATATCCAAACCTGAGCTCTGTTGTTGGAGGAGTTCAACAATCTCAGGTTTTTGATATTGCAATATACAAAGCCTTTCCTTGTTGAACATAGTTGAAAAGCACGTTTAGTGATTATGTTCATAGCAAGTCTCACCAGTCGGCTTCTTTGTCAGGGCAGGGATGCGCGCTGAGACGCCTGCTCATTGAGCTCATTATGGCCTACTTCCCTGCAAATGTTCAGACGTAGTCCAGCACGGGTGGTTTCTTGCCCCAAAAGGAGGCTTCGGTGGCAAACATTTGTCCCAAAGGGACATGGGCCAGACGGGTGGGTTTGGTTGGGATCCTCGGTCCCAGGATAGCTGGGCGCGGCAGAAGACGGCCGTGTTGACGGATCGGTGTGAGAAGATCGAGACGCTTGGGCGAAACCGGGACCCGTACTCTCCTGCAGATAAGCATTGGACCCCGAAAAGTTTACAAGAAGAAACCGCGGGCTGAGCGGAATCTCCTTTTGCCTTTTGAGGATCCCAGATAGGTTCCATGCTGCTTTGCAGGGGACTGTTCGTCGGCAGCGCGGCAAAACGGACTTGGGATGTTTTCAATACATGGCCCAGTCTCTGAGGAAGGCGGACGCAGACGCAACGCGGTTTCATTTTTTCATGTTGGTTTCGGGCGTCGGGTTGAAGCATGGTTTTCCCTGAGACCATCTCAAGTAGGCTGAGTTTCCCCAATCACAAGTTGCTTTCGGCCCCAAGTGGTCCAACGAAATCAACATGGTTGGACTCGGGTGCTCCGTAGTGGGTTCCCATTCTCCCCCTTAGCTCCCTGGACAATTTGGCATGCCATTCGTTGGAGTCGGCCACCTTTTGGTGGCAGGACGCGGAAGCCGAATGGGGTTCCTGATTTCTCTCTACCCAAAAGCTCCTGGGGCTTTCAATGGAAGACCCAGACCCTCCATTGGACACCCCGGGGGTGTTTGGGGGTCTCAAAACCTGGCTATTTGAGGTCCCTAAATCCTCTGGGTAGGAGTAAAATTCGGAGTAATGGCCACAAAGGGTTCCGGGTGGGTTCTGGCCACCCGCGTCCAAGGATCAGCGTGGGCAAGTTGGGGGAGTGCCTAAAGGGCGTCGACCCCACCCAGCTTCGAAACATGCCGGAGCGGCTTAAGGCGATGATTGGATCGGACAAGATGCAGACACGGGAAACGTGTTGTTTTTCTTCCCCGGATGTTTTTTGGGTTAAAAAATGAAACTTGGTTTGAGATTGGATATAGTATCGGCTTAGTATTCATTTATGGTTTCAAAGTGCCTCTTCGTACGACTGGAGTTGGGTCGGATGTGAGTGTGTTTTGCGCTGTCCTTTTGGTTTCGCCAAAAAGAGAGAGGTTCCCTATTAGACAAATCATGGCATGCCGTGGATGCCCTTTTTGCGGGCAGGAAGCTGAAGCCGATTTATTGGAGTTCCAATGGACCAAAGTCCATTGGGAGTTCCATTGGACCATGGATTCCTCTTGGCATGCCCGTATTTTCCGGCAAATGCGGCAAAACGAGGAACCGGAAGCAGGTCTTCCAGCCTTCCAGCCTTGGGTACTTTGGGGGTAGACTGTGAGAGTCATAGCGCCGGGCCCCTGGCCCCTGGCTTTGACGCATGTCTTGCACCATTGTTCCGAAACCGGGAGGCCTGCGCCGAGCGAATTCACCAAATGCAGATGGAAGACTGCAGCCCTGTATCCGGCGAGGCGGGATCTGGTGCCGTCTTCGGAAGGTCGGAAGCGTTGAACAACAATCAGAAGACAAGTGGCCATGGGTCAAAATCCAAATCGTACCCCCAGTGAACATCCCACTCCCCACGAAAGTAGACCAAAATGGGTGGTGCACCTACCCCGAAATGGCACCATTGGTTTTGACCCACAGCCAAGTGTGAAATGCAGAACACAGACATGGGACTGGTCGGGATCGGGATGGTTGGACCGTCGGGACGGAGGTGCGAAACGGACTTTTCGCACCTCACAAAAATTCATGGGGGAATCAGGACTAGTTGGGGCGGATAGGATGGTTGGGATGGTCGGGATGGTGGTGTGGTCGGGAGGGTTGGGCGGGTTGGGATCGTGGGGGACGGTTGGGACAGGTAGGGTTGGTTTGGGGTTGGTTTGGGGTTGGTTTAGGGTGGTTTAGGTCGAAACATGGTTGTTTTCGGGGTGGCTTTAAACTTGGTCCAACGTTGCTTTAGGCTTGTTTAGGCCGGTTTAGTGTCGGTTCAGGGTAGCTTTAAGGTTGGTTTAGGGTTTGCATGGGGTTTGCTTTAGGTGGGTAGGGACCTACCTGGAGTACTTCCAGAATCGAATCTACCCGGTCTACGCATCCTGTATCCGTGAGGATTCCAGCGAAGGTAGAAGTCCTCTTGAAAAGCGACTGAGGTTTGTTTCGCCCCCTTGCCTGCTTTTCGACTAGACCAGAAAGTCAACAGCGGGTCCAACAAATAATTTTACTGTAGTCACATCATTGGGCCCGTTTGTGGACCCTGGTCTCATTTCGTGCCACCGTCAGCATGTTGCTGTGTCGAAACTGGCGCTCTAGCCAAATGATTTATATACCAGAAAGTTGGTTTGCTTTCAAAATACGTTCCAAGTTCGTCCTTTTCAGAAGCTCCAAGTTTCAAGACACCTAGCCCAGTACTGGGACTCCTTCCGAATCGCCAGCCGCTTTCTTGAAGTGGCAAAAAGACTCGGAGGGGTCGGCGTTATTTCCAATGCAGTTGCATGAACTTAACAGCCCTCACCAGGCTTGGGTTCTGCTCTGGCACTTAGGACACCTTGTTCGTATCCCTTCGCGATATGTGTTATTTGTTTTGAGCTGAGCTGATTCGGGCTGAAGGCCAAGTTTTGTCCAAAGTGATGTGTAAAAAAATAGAATTTCACTTCAGCTTTCAAGAAGTATCACGCTGGAAGTCTCGTGGTTAGGAAAACCTTTGCCCAATGACTTGCACTCGAGCCCGACATGAGATGAAACCCCCTCATTGAAAAAAAGGGAGGGGTTGCCTTTTGGAGGTATGAATGTTTGTGGCTAACACACTGCTGGCTTGCTTGCGCTCAGGATCATATTTCTCTATTTCAGAGCCAGCTGTCGTCCATTGCCAACGACGTGGCTCATATCTCCGAGACATGCAAGGCACATCGGGCGATCATGCTGGCTTACATGTGGTTTGCAGGTAAAGGCCCCAAAAATGGTGCACACCCATGACCTTTGAGGATCAAACAAGTGTCAGCTTGTGCCTTATTGTGTTTACCTTATGCAAACTGCAGCTGGCGGGTCAAAATGGTTGCAGGCACTGCGCCAGCAACCACCGCGGCACCTAGAACCAACAGCTTTATACCCAGCACCTTGGCTAGAACCTACAACAACGCCAACGACAACACGTGAGGAGCCATCGCCAGCATGACAACATGGTGGCCCTAGTTTGACACATTCCCGAATCTTGCTCGCGACCATGTGGTCCTCTTGACTGAAACACACCGTGGCGAACACTTGCCAGAGGAAAAGCTTTTGATTTGTTTGCACCATCTTGAGCCCTTACATCCAAACGAGAAGCACACTTGAGATAGGACATGGTCGCTGCTTTTGGTTCAGCCAATCGCCTTGAAGCTTTTGTATTTTCCCACAAAGCAGCAGGAGGTAAACGGTCTGTTGCTCGTAAAAGGAACCTGAGCCATGCTCAACGACCTATTTTAAGGGCCTAAACACAGAATGGAGTTGTGGGGTGCTTTGAAACCTAAGTTATGTTTCCAGGACACACGTGTGTTCTCGTAGTTTGAAACGATCCCAAGGCTTCAATGATCTCCATGGGGGGGGTCCCTGCGTTTCTTGTTTGATGGTTTTAAACGTCACCATTTACCTTGTTGGGGTTTGAACACAATGTCTGGTGGTGTGAAACATCACCTGCGGAGAAAATAAGAAAAAGTGTTCACGCTCTTTTCCTCCACACAAATGTGTTGAATTCCAAGCGGCGGTCTTCATACAAGTTGTGCGCTCTAGTTGGGGCCTCAAAATTGGAACCTCACAAGTGGCACTGTGTAGGCATGAACGGGAAGCAGGGAAGGAAAGAGCAAACAAGGAAAGGAAAACAGGTAGGAGCAAAAGAAGCATAGCTGCTGCATAGCAGCAGGTAGGGCTGAAAAACACTATGGCAAACGGGCCTGGAGGGTCACCAGTCACGAAACCACCTCGGCCTTGCGCTTCTTCTTGCGAAACACTTGCGCGGAACTGTCGCGAAATCTTCCGAGTCAAAACGGCAAACAACGTGTGGTTCTTTTGGAGCCACCAACAACAACCCCCACATATTTCAAAGGCACTGATGCCACCAAACTGTTCAGGACGAAAATCCGACTTGAGCGAATCTTTTGAACACTGCATTTTTGACTTGCGCGGCTGCATGCTTGTGCAAGCTCGACATGCCGAATTCCAAGCGATGGCCTACCCGAAGACGAACCGAAACTTTGGGATCCCCGCAGACATAGTAAGTATGCCCCGTTTTTTGTTTGTTTGACTCTTTTGAGGAGACCTTTGGGTCCCTGAAAGGGGTAGGTTTTGGGGTGGAAGTAGAGGGAACCCTGTTTTTTGGGCGCAGGAACTCACGATGGTTCCTCGCATGATTTCGTAATTCCGCTTTTTGCAGAAACAACAGCTGATACCTGCAATCACAAGTTGGACACTTGTTTAAACAACCTCCCTGTGGCTTTCCTTCAACATGAACCGGGCTTGGCTTGGTTGATTGAATCAAATATTGCCCGCCTGTTTGCCCTGGCGCTGTTTTTTGGTCAGGCCAAAGTGGACGTCTACGATGCGCTGCAGCGCTCAGCTGCTCGGAACTCTGTGTCTCATCCTTGCCCTCAAACTCCAACTTGCCCGATTCAAGACCAAATCTAAACCTGGGCCCCCCCTCCCCCCTCCATCCTACCCCTCCCCCCCCTCCCCCGCCACCAGGGCTCGATTCCGGGAGCCGCTGCCGAGGTTTGTGGTATGAAGCTCGGTCCCCCGAACCCCGAATTTAGAGGCGGGAGCCTTTTTGCTGTTTTTCATGGAACATATTCTGGGTCAACCTTTGACGGCTTTCTGTTGCGAAGGTTTGAGTCTTTGTTTCCATGTACCAAGAGGCAACTTTGGGTGCCGCTTTTGAGTTAGAGAATGATTGAAGCCCCACAGTTGAAACCTGAGTCCCAGGACCCCAATGGTTGAGCATTGAGCAAGGTTCCTTCGTTTAGGCTTGCTAGTGCTAATATCCTGGCAACTCCTGAGTCGTACATGTCGTGGTTGGGTTCGCTAGGCTAGCTTTCGTTCACCCGCCTCTCAAGTCGTAGCTAACAGTGAGAGATTGTAGTCGTCAACGTTGACCACCCGGAACATATCTACTGGAAAGGCTACCCTTTCAAAACGAAAAGAACATTACTCCCCAGAAAAAATGAAACAACACCCCTGATACCCTACATCAAAACATGTGTCGAAACTCTGAAAAACTACATGTTGCGCCAATAACCCGAACACTCCTCCCGCTTCCCCCCTAAATTAACTGGAGGGTCCCTTTGTTTGGCCGCACGCAAGCAAAATGAGCCGCCCATGTTGACGGATTCGCCCAGGACCAGGTCATCAACCGGGTTCTTGCCACCTATACCAGGGTGGTAGAGCAGGAGTGTCGACCCATGCACCACAGATACGCCTCCCATGCAGCCGCAAAACCGCTTGGTGAAAATATCCTTTGGCCTTCGCGCGACCAGCTTTGGAGTAATTCGCAAAAGGGTGAACCATTGTCACTGCAAACCTGCAAAACTTCTGTTGCCGTTTCGGCTTTCCCCTTTTTTAGTTTCAACCAGCGAACAACTTTTTGCAAATTCTGTCTGGCCTAGAAATGATCTCGAATGATGAAATTGCTTTGAACAGGAGCTGCTTTGCTTGTGCCGAGACAAGTGCGCCTGGTTTTCTTTGAAGCAAACCGCTTGGGAATGAGGCTGATTGTCCACAATTGTGCGCCCAGAAACCAAGGAGCCGACTGGGCGTTCTGGGGTGCCTCCCGCCAAGCCACTTATTTGCTCTAAGTCACCGGAGTTAGGAGCCTCACCACCCACAGACTCAGCCGCCCTCAACGGTGTGGGCTTCAGAAACCCAATTAGCGTGTGGCCAGATGTGGTCCATAGGTTTGCAGGTTGGGACTCCGAGGTTCTGCCCCAAGATTAGTGGCTCGAAATGTTCCATACGTAAAATAAGGCGAGACCCAAAATGGTGGCTTTGCTTTTGGTTTCCCTGTAAACCACCCCCCAAAGAAACCAAAACCCCACACACACGCACGCACGCACGCGCGCACGCGCACGCGCACGCGCACGCGCACGCACACGCACACGCACACGCGCACACACACACACATGGTGGTTTGGGGATGGGTCTCCATGCCCTGAACAAGTGGCCGAGCCGTTTTGTGGGTTGGCAGGACAAGCAAACCGAGACCAGCGAGGATTTTTCCGACCTGCCTGGTGTAACCCAAACCTTCACTGACTTCAGCGTGGGGTCGCCCATTGACGACATGTCACACGTCAACAGTGGGGAATTCATGTGATGGCTGCCTTGCAAGAACAAAAGCAATGCATGTGTCGAGACTGGGGCAGACATACATTCTCCAAAATGCTGGTTCAATCCGTGAAACATATTGCTTGCCCTTGTTTCCAGAAGGGTTCTCTTTGTTTCCAGAAGGGTCCCTAGTTTTGACACCCCGCAGCCTTGTAGCTACTCCTTTGCCACAACCAGAGACTTGCATCTCGTTTCACCTCTGTGCCGAGGGATGGCTTATGCACTAGGAATGGCTACCTGGAACGTGGAAAGACACTTTGGTTTGACGTTGGGATTCACCCTCAAATTGCGGAGATTCACCCAAGGCAGTTGTGTGGGTTCCAGCTCGTACGTCAGGTTCCATCCAAAGATCGATATTTAATATTTATTTGCATGTTTGTGTTTTCCCGCAACGGGTGCAATGTTTGGAAGGAGAATACTTCAGTCCTGTATATTGCTGGCATGCCGAACATGGCCCAGCAGTCGGGCCGGTTAGAAAGTAATTCGCATCTTGAAAAGGGGAATACTGTGTACAGCTTCCCCAGAGACGCGGGCGGTAAAATGAGATCATGTTCAAAGGCCCTCCTGAAATTCAACATGGAAGGTAACGTGAGTTCCTCTGGGAAGTTGTTTGTTTGATTGTATAGCTCCGGCACCGGCCTTCAGGTCTGGTTGGTTGCTCTCTGTTGCTCTCTGTCAGTTGGCTGGCAGGTTGGCTGGCAGATGTTAGGCTGATTGAATAATTGGTGTTATGATGATAGATTTGTTTTATTTGATAATAGATAAAACATCTTATAATATTATTCTTATATACATATATATATATATAATATTCGAATTGAATAAATATTAAATAAAGAGGAAATATGAATAATATATATGATATTAAATTAATATAATATGTTTATTTGATTAATATTTGTTTTGATATATATATATATATTGTTTAGATAATTGAAAATTATAGGGGTTAAAAATTTTAATAAAGATGGGTATTTTGTTATTGTAATATGATATATATTTTTTGTATTTTAAAAATTAATTGATTTATAAAGATATTTGAATTTTAAATAAAGGAGGGATGGATTGATATTAATTTTAATAAAATGAAATATTATTTTAAAATGGATTGTAAGTATTTGTATTTTAATATTAAATTAGTAAAAATAAATAGGTAAAATTTTAAAAATTAATTTAGGCCGAAATGTTGATTTACGAATTAACAAACCCTAACCCTTTTTTCCCCCGTTGCCTCCCCCCCGCTTATTATTATTAACATTGAAATAATTTAATTCTATAATATAATTTTTAAACATATTTTTTAATTATATAAGAAATGCAAATATGGTTTAATTAAAGATTTAGAATATAAATATTGTATTTTATTGAATGGGATATTGTTTTGTATAAGATGGAAAATAATATATTTATTTTATAGAAAATGGAAAATAATATATTTATTTGATAAGCATTTAATTATAGAGAAATCTTGTTCGTCGACTCTATAATAGGTATTTTAAGTATGAATATATTATAATTGAGATTATAATAATTTCCAATTTCTGGAAATACGAAATATTGTTTACTCGTAAGAAGGTATAACGTGTATTTGCGCGGTTGGATATAAAACCCATTTTCCTAAGCCAAATATAATTATTATTTAACAAGTAATTTTAATATTTTGAATTAACCTATTATTTATAAAAATCGATAGAAATTATTAAAAAGAACAAATAATATATATATATAATATTATAATTATATAAATATCGATAATAAAAAAAAATCTATAATAATATATAATTATATTTATAATATTTTATAATATAATAAGGAAAATAAAATATTATTTATTATAATATATATTATTTTTTAAATATTTGTATTATATATATATATATATTTAATAATAGCTTAATATATTTAAATATATTTTTTTATTAAATAATACAATAAAATGGTTAATTTAATTATATTCGAATATATATATATAATCATTTAAATTCTATATATATATAATAATAAATCAATATAATATATTAGAATTATTAAATATAAAAAACAATATTTATAGGGTTTAAATTAATATTTAAATATATAAAATATATATTCTATATAGTTAATTATTTTAATTTTTACTTCCAAATAATTTCCTATATAATTCGGGGCCACCCCAAATACATATTATTTTTTAATTTTCAATTTCTATTATATTCGATAAGAATCCCAAACGGTAGGTAATATACCTATCTATCCATAAGAATAAATAATTTGTGTACGATTCAATTTTTATACGACATAGAAAAGGAAAGAAAAGAGATTAGGTATCTAAGTCTTTTCTTACACCTAAAATATATAATAAATAAAATACCGAATAATCCTAATATCTTATTTACGAACAACTTAATTTCTTAAAACGAAAGATTAATATCGGAAAACAAATAAATCTTATTTATGTATTTATTTACTCCTCATTCATTCATATACTTATCATACGGATTCATTTAATTACTTACACACTTACTTACTTCACTTAAAACACTACTTAATTCAACCGGGTCATAATTCTCTTACTTCCGAATAATTCATATCCTCGAATATAAAGAGCCTCAAAAAATCAATCATTTATTTATACAACTATTAATTTACTAATACACCAACCCGAAAATTGTTTATTTATTATTGATCAATGAAAAACAAGTTTATTATATATTATATTTATGAATAATTAAAATCATTTATTTATATATATATTTTTTTCATTTATTTTTAAAACCGGGAAACAATATATTTATTTATATATCTATTATTTTTATAGATTAAGAATTAACATAATAAATTATTTATTTATGGATCTATTCACTCCCAATAAGATTTTGTTATTTCTTTACTGGGAAAGAAAAGGAAAAGAATAAATATGTATTTTTATTTGTTTATTTTATATATTAAAGGATGTATATTCCGGCAGCTAGTCAAGCTGCTATAATTGAGCGTGGAGGAGGTGCGCCGACATCTCCATAAATGAGATATATGAGTGGCGCAATATCCCAATGCAAATCTAAGCTTGCAAAACAATCTTATAGACGTTAAACTACCCTCCCAGCACAAACCTTAAAAACGGCTAATCTTATAAAGCCATGGTAATTTGGCCTTTATTACAATATTAAATTTAATCATAATATAAAATTCATAAATAGATTCTTAGAACCAGCAAAAATGTCGAACAGCTAAGGTATCAGGAAGGTATCGGTTCTACAAATATATGATTAGTAGTGTTTTTAGATAGATTATGGATATAGATAATTGCGAATCATTATATATTCCTTCGGTTCATATAACTCAAATATGGTAATTTTTGTGGTTTAAACAAATAATATACCTCATAACACACCACAACTCAATTTACCTTCCATATCCCAACATACCCACTACAATGCTAAAGGACCAGAAACAATCAAACGGCCCCATAGGTATTTTTGTTCGAACACGGAGGAACCTTTACATACTTCACACCATATATATACATATAAACAATAACAAAAATAAACATCACAATAACCATCATAAAACAATTCAGAAAATTTTAAATCGTGCAGAGTAACTTTAACGAGGCTTATCATTTAACTTATTCTTTTTTGCCACAGAGATCATAGGGGAAGCTATTACCAAAAATAGAATTCGAAAGGGAGAAATAAAAACACAAAAGAGAGAAAAAACAGAGCGAAACATAATATAAATAAATACATATTTAGAATTTTAAAAGATTAACTGTCTAATTCGGAATATGCCCATATATACATTTTCACGTTTTAATCGACCATATACTTACAAGTATCACGAACCCGGAGCTTAATATTTCAGTCAACCATATAATTATGCCTTCGTAAACTAGCGACCCATAATTATCGGGCCGTCCGAGCTAACACAATACAACCTAGACAATTAAACAAAATCTACTATACGGCTCGAGCAAACGCAAAAACTAAAAAACAATTATACTTAAACCAATCAATAATTTGACGAACACTATATTTTCTTTAGTCTTATAAACAAACATCGACCCTCGTTAAAACCTATAAACCTTTTATCCGCCAATTCCCGAATAAAATATCGGCGTAGGAATCATTTACAACAATATGCCAATATCGAACATAAATACACTCATAATAATTTTGTAAAATCGATATATGACTCCAAAATATATTCATAAACCTCTAATTCAAGAAAATATGGGTAAATTGGATACTTAAAAAACACAATTCCGTCAATTCCTTGTTAATGAACAAAAGCCATATTCTGCAACTTAAAACTATATAAACCAATTTAAAATCCGAATTTTATTTAACTTACAAATAAATCATTATTTATCAAATAGAAAATATATTCCAAACGGAATTTAATTATATATATAAATAATTTTAAAAACATATTCCAAACATAATTAAAAATATATATATTTTAAATACATTCTTAACCTTTTTATATAATTAGTTTAAATATTCTATTTTATAACCTCAAATATCTTAATTTTAAACATTTAAATTAATTAACCAAAAAATATATATATATATTATTCATAAAATGATAATATTTTATTTTTCTTCTATTTCTTTAAACATATATAATTAAATACAATATATAAAAAATCAAATATAAAAAAGAAACCAAAACAAACAAAAATCAATTCTTCAAATTCATTATTTTTTAATTTCCATTTCCTAAATCTATCAAATTTTAATTTTAATTTTCAATATATAATATTATCATTCAACACAAAAATAAAAATTACAATTTATCAAAAACACCATAACTCAATAAACACACCATTCTTTAACCTTTAAAAATTAAATAAACTACCACCAACAACATTATATAAAACTAACTTCAATCATTTTTTGGAAATTAATTATTTGTAATTCTATCCTTTTTCAATTATATTTATATAACATTTCCAAATTACAAATTTAAAAAACATACTACAATATATATATATATATATAATAATTACATAACACTATATAAATAATTAATACATATTATACATCTCAAACCACACTATAACAAAAACCAAAAGCTAGAACAAACTATATTTCTTTAAAATAACAATCATATTTAACGAATAAGCAAAAAACAAGAATAGATTTTTCGGGTTTTCCCAACAATGGTCGGCAATACCCCCAGTGCCTAAATTGCCAAAAAAATCAACCATTCACATGGAATTCTACCAATACACAGGGAATTCGATCAATTCACAAAAACTCACAGGGAATTCGATCAATTCACAGGGAATTCGACCAATTTACAGGGAATTCGATCAATTCACAGGAAATTCGACAATTCACAGGGAATTCTGCCAATACACAGAGAATTCAATTCTACCAATTCATAGACAGCGAATTCGACCAATTCACAGGGAATTCGACCAATTCACAACAATTCACAGGGAATTCGGCAAGAAGCCGAGACCGTTACAGCAAAGAGACAAAAGCAATTCTCCAAACTATACTTGTTCACTGCTTTGTCATTGTTTAGGAAATAACCATAAATCAATTCATATTATGTATGGTTTGTCCTGATCGCAACCGGCCAAATGGGAAGGCATGGATCGCCCCATGCTCGGAACTGCATTCGCCAGTCTCGTCCCAGCCTCAAAGGCAGTGCGTTTATCACATCGACCGTCAACATGTCTGAGGATTGGTAAAAGAAACCCAACCGAGGTTTTGCAAATTGAGTCCCCAGCCAGGAGACTCTCGGCCATGAATACGCCCCGGAGCCGCGCAAACTGGCGGATGGTTTCGGGGCACAAAAAATCATGGGCCGGCCTAGAATGTCCTTACAGCTTGGTATGATTCACTTATCTCGGCCTGGGCACTCTGCCTGATTTACCAGATTGTGCTCCCGATTTTGAGATCAGAACCAGTTATCCGCAACTCTCGCGATGGTGTGGCCTGGAGCACGTCCACGGTCTCTGAATCCAAGTGCGGACCTAGGCTTTGAGATCTAAGTGATTGATGCCGTCCTCTCTTTCCAGCTTCAGGTCTTGCTGGTTTCGGCCCGAAAGGATCAAAGATCCCAGGTTCGCGAGATACACTTAAACCCTTTCTTTGCCCAAGACTGGAACCATGCCAAACAATCTCCCAACACCCGCGCCGAAGCTTTCTTCAGAACCTGGGGCTCACACAGTTTCGCCACCAGTGCCCCAGGCCGCTGCAAACCTTCCGGAACTCTGCTTGCTCGCAAGTTCGAGTCCTGCTCCTTTTACTTTGGGAGTTATATCAAGTTATATCGACTACAAATGCAACCGGACTAGGGACCACAATCCTTTGAAATCGTGTCCCCGGCATTAAACGATTTCGGTCTGCAAGCATTTGAACAATGTATTGTAACGTTCCCCCCTTGTCTCCCCAATCAAAATCCTAAGAGGGAACAACATGTGAGCCATGGTCGAAATATGCTGTTAGCCTCGGACAAGCAGCGAGGTTCCAGTTGTGCTTGAAATTTGGTGGCTCAACCCCATGTCACAAACTCCCAACAATCTAGACAACTCATATTTGCTCGACCAAGCCTGCGACCTGTAATGCAGCTGGCCTGACCAACCATAAAAACACCTCCCCGGTAAAGAGCCTTCATGGGTTTTCGCCACTGTTTCCCCCGAAGCCATAGGTGACACATGGAATAAAATCCATCTAGGACACCTATGCCCGAAGCATTGGCCCACGAATTCCTCCCTCCACGCCTCGCATGGCAGGCGCTGCGCAAGGAAGTGCTTGAGCTCTGGATGGTCCCCAGGCCGATTTCGGCGTGGCAGGTAGCCCAGGCACTGCTTGCAGCGAGGCTCCTCCACCGGGTCCTGGCGATGCTTCTCGCCGCCAGCGGAGAATCCCATGACCCTCTGCGGGAACTGCAGCCATGCCCCGGCGAAGCGCAAACTGGCATCGATTCCGATAGTTTTTGCTCTCTCCAGAAAAGCTGATGGCTTGCGACGATTTGCCGAGCTCCGCAACTCGCCTGCTGCAGTCCCGGGCATTGCCAAGAGAGGTGACCTGCGCAATGAACATCTGGCAAGGTTTGTCTGTGTTGGGGGAAGTCCTCCCAAACTGAATCCAACTTCTGCTTCCCTAGACCTTCCCTCAGATGCTCAGTCATAGAAAAATAGGGCATCCTTTTCTGGTTGGCCTTCGCCCAAAAGCTCATTGAACAAAGGGCGCCGCCGGGCAACTGGGTTGCGCTTCCCGGCAGGTGCCTGCACCGCCACAAATGCCGCCCCAGAAGCCAGGCAGAGGCCGATCACAGCTCACGCCGTACCTCACGCAAGCGCTTGCGTCCAGGCTGGCAGCTGACACCACCTGAGTCGTAATCAAAACCTGATATTAAATTGGTCTGCCCAGAATTGTGCTTCAATAAGTAAACAGGCGGATATCCGCACCCATTTAAGGGGACTCTGGCAAAAGGATGACCGGTCTGATCAAATCTCCGGTTCCTTCAGTGGGCGCACTCAGCCACCAGGTGGGGCGCTTGCTTGGTATGGCCCCGGCCACCACATGCCTCCGCCAGAACTGTCTGCCCTACTTTCAGGAGGAGGGGGGTGGGGGGTCCCCAATTCCATTGATCTAATCTTCCCAATATAAGGGAAAATGGAACCACAAATGGAATGAATTTCAGGGGTCACCCCGGATTCTTCAGAAGTGAAGTGACTTTGTTTGGAGCAGGGCCGAGCCAAAGATCCCAGTGACCAGACATCCCCATCCCCTTAAAAATGGAATTTGGGGAGGGGTATGTTGCAACTGCTAAATAACTATATATATATATGGCAGTTGATCAATATTCCTGTTTCCGGAAAACGCCATCTTCGCGAGAAAAAAAGGTTTCTTTCGCGAATCTTTCGCGACTCCATCGCCACGCCCTTTTGTTTGCAGCGTGCGCTCTGGAGCCATTGTGGCTGCTGCAGTTGTGCTTGCAAACACAGTAATAGCCGCAGTTCACTTGCTCTGGCAGGCTTGCAGTAGCGTTAAAAGAAAGAGTCACCGTCTTGCCGGGGAAGTGCGGAACCTTGCAACAAGCTCCATGGACTTTCGCCGGTCTTTCGCGGATCTTTCGCGAAACTTGCTCCAAAATAGCCCAGCCAACGATATTGGTTTGCACCATTCCCAACACAGGAATGAGAATCAATAATGCAAGTATAAGTGCTGCGCATCTCCCTGTCTACAAGGGAGCAGGGTCTGCAAATATGAAAGTGCACAGGATGCCTCCAAGAACCCAACGCGGAATCTTTCGCGAAAAATAAAGTTCTTTCGCGAACTCCAGAGGGATTTAAACAAAGACGAATGGTCACCGAATACATAACTCCTTGCAAGGACCTTTTGATCAACCCCCATATATACACACATTATGCCTATGATCATGGTAGAGCTGAGAATTCCAATTAATTAATTTGACCCTTGTAGTACTCGCCAAAGATTCTAGGACAGACCATTTCCCTTCTATAGTGGGAACCGGGGAAAATCAACAATATTCTTAAGCAAAATGGAAGTCTGTATTGTCCTGCTAGATTTCCACCCACAGGAAAACAAAAATGCTGAGCATGCCATCTCCCTGCCACATATCAATTGCATCTCAATCTCAACCTGTGCCCTGCCTCCTTCATGGGACCCAGAAGTGTCCGCCGACCCTTTTTGATGAGATGAGGGTCTTGCCAGACTCCAGCCCGGAAGGGAAGATATTTCTTTGCAGCGAAAGATTCCCGCTTGCTTGACATCCTAGAATCTGTTGTGTGCCCAACAGTTGACCCCCTGCAAAAAGTTCAACTTTTTGGGGGTTGAGTGGAAAACACCTTCATTTCCCAAAAAGTTAAGGTCTAAAGATCCAACCCAATAGCAGTCAAGAACAAACGCATCTCAATGGCAAACACTTTGGGGTCTCGTACCGCCTCGCGCCTCACAGAAGGGACATCGGGTAAGCATGCGCTCTGGCAGCACCGGTGTACCTTGCGCAAGCGAACGCTGATTCTTTGTCAAACAATTCCCAAATGGCTGTGGCTCAAAAACATGGAGACCAACATGCTCACATGCATCCTACGGCTGTGCCTCTGCAGATAAGAGAAGCCAACCAATACTAGGTCTTCATGACAAACAGCCCTCATAGCCATGGGACAAAGGCGAGACGCCAGCGCAATCGCCTCTCTCGCAAAGCTCAGCATAATTAACCACACATGTCTGTGCGCGTTGTTTGTGCTTACATGCCTCTCTTCGGCCACAAATCCTGAACAATGCATCCACTGCCCATAAAGGACGTGTGCAGGCACCAAGGGGACATAGCTCTCCTCCTAAGAAGAGAAACAAATCAAGGTCGAACCATCATCTTGACCTTGCACGACTTGGCTGTGGGTGAAAAATCGCCACCCAGAATGCAACGCTGTCAAATGGACACATGGACTAAATCGGTCCCTGGTTGTTTAGTTGTTTAATTTTGACCCATACCCACTTGGGGCTAACGCAACCCAACACATGCTTGGCCATGGATACAGCGCCACCCTTTCCCAAAGCCACCCTCCGTCCTCGCCTCGGACGCTAAAAGCGGCACGGGTAGGACTGGTGAGGCTCAACGGCGGCTGCTGCCTCCCGCTCTGCGCATCATTTGCTGTAGGCCTGCTTTCCCCCTACCACCCAAAGTGGAAAATGAATTCTCTCTAAACCCAACCAACCTGCTGCCGCAAATATGAAATGGACCGTTTGGAGGCGCGAGCGTGCAACACGCCCTGTCACTGTCGCAGTCCGAGGCACTCTGCTTCCGCCTCCAGCAGTGCATCCACCAAGCCTTGGTCAACAACTCTGGTTGCGGAGCGAGAATAGGTGTCCTTATACGTGAGTTGAGTGAAACTGACCTAACTTAGGTCAGCTTCGTTACAGAAGAATGGCACCGCTTCAATAAACATCCGGGCACATGCCGGAACAAGAGGCACACCCCTGCCTTGTTGCCTCTTTCAGCACTCCCACTTGCGCATTCAAGTGTGCAAGCGAACCGCCCCAACTTGCAACTTGCTTCTCCACTCCTGGCAAGCCTTGATCCAAACGAAGAGAGACTGTTTGTCCGCTGTAAGCCGCTCGGGGACGCGAAGTCCATAATTGCTGGACTTTGCCCAAGAAGCTTTTGGACAGGCTGACTGAGCCAATAGGTCTGAATCAGCGCGCCAGCGAATCCTCGATAACATTTCCGGACGAGTTTTCTGGGATACCTTCGATCAAGTCAGATTTGCCATCCTCTCCTTCTGTCGGTGGTCATGACTGAGCAACGTTAGAGGCCCCGGCAGTCAGCAACACCTTCGGCCAATGGGGGGCTGTTGGTCATCTGCAGGGCGTTGTGTACCTGAGCCAAAAGCAACGCCACCATTTTGGGGGGTTCCCGTTAAACAAAAATATATACACCCGGCTTTCATGGGACATTTCTTGGCCACTCAGGGGGAGGGCCCTATCGCAAATGGCAACCCACCACATTCTTTCCTGAACAACTTGCTCCGGACTCATCCAAACCTCTACGCAAGAACGCTTAAGCTGAACGATTCATCCAACGTGGCATCCCACTGGCTGGCCTCGTTGCCTAAAAGGTCCCAACATTGCCCGAACTCATCTACAACTGCTTGCTACGCATACAACGGGAAGGGCCTTCGGCCTCACTTGCCGTGGCACGCCTTTTCTTCGTGGGCAACAAACTCAACTCAAATCACCTGAGGGCATCCCATGCGATCTAGCTGCACAGATTGGGAAACCTATGGCCACTGTGGCTGCAGGAAGATGCCAAGTCCAAAGGAATGGGTCCAAAAAAAATCGCTTGCAGCTTCCGACTGGCCTGCTGGCGGGTACAGCGATGGTACGTGCGGCATTGAAAGCTCTGCACTGCCTGGCATGGTTGAGAACTGCAACGACACCTATTGCAAAACAACATAACCAGAAATATCAAAGCGGGCCGCCAAAAGAACTTTTGCTCGAAAGCATTGCGAAGGGCTCTTTAGGAAAGACGTAGCACGTGGCACGAGCAAGTTGCATTAGCAAGTTGCATTGGCAACATTGCACTAGCAAGTGCATTAGCCAGTAGCAGTAGCAAGATAGCACTGGCAAACAACTAGTTCGTGTCTTAAACTGGATTACTATCTTTGCTACGCTTTCGCGTTCACGCGCAAAAGAAAGGATGCGAAGCCGACAAGAACGCATTGCTCTTTGAAGGCGGCGGGCCTGCGACAGCTTGGCGATCGAAAAGCCGACCGTCTGGGAAGATCGGCGCGCGCGAGATCGGCGTGGTCGATGTCGAAAAAAAAAAAAAAAAAAAAAACCAACTCTTAAGTATGAAAGACGCACGCTCAGGACAGCTCCCAAAAAATCGCCACTTTTAAGTACGCGCTTTAGCAGCTCCGGCTGGAAAATCGCAACTTCTTGGTACGAAAGGACCTTCGCAGCTCCGGTAGGAAAATCGCAAGTTGAGCTATAGGGGAGTAGTGCGCGAGGTACGCTTTCAGAAGCCTCCGGTTGGAAGATCGCAACTTTTAGCGATGAACGTATTACGCGAAGTGCACTTTCGCAGGTCCGGATCGACAGTTGTACTCGCATCAAATGGTTGCTGCAGTGTGGTCAGCGCTGCGCTCAGAGAACTTACTCGAACGAACTTGTTCAACTAAACTGGCTGAGAGATTTTCTGCCAAGAACTTGCTTGGAGAACTTGCTCACAGGAACTCGCGCCAACAACTTGCCCATAGAAAGCAACAAAACTGGCTGAGACCGCTTGTGCCAAGAACTTGCGTGGAGAACTTGCGTTGAAAACTCGCGCCAGGAACTTGCTCAAAGGAACTTGCACAAACAACTTGCTAAAAAAACTTGCTCGTAGAAACTTGCGCAAAGAGCCTCTAAATTGATGTAAGGGTTTGACATTGTTCCGGCAATCGTGTATTTGCAAGGGATTCATTCCAGGGTGTCTTAGGTGGTGCAGGATTTTGTCCATCCACTCCTTGTTTGAGCAAGCGGGACAACTTGCGCGATGCTGCCCCTGTTGTTGTGCTTCCCACTCTACGTTTGTATTTGCAGGAAGTGGTTTCTGCAGGCATGGGCTGAATGTGTCGGGTCGGGCATTGGCTCTAGTTGAGTGGCTTTGAAACTTGATGTTGCCATGCTAACTAGGTGCCGCACGCCATAGCAACTGCTTTGATATCTCAAGGAAAGTCAAGGTTCCGACAGCAGAATGTGCGACACTTGCAACATTGCGACACTTGCAACATTGCTTCTCTAAATACTATAGTTGTAGTTGTACTGTTCGTGTGTATTCGACACAACCCGCCAGCCACAAGCACTGCACGCGACAGCAGCCCTTTGGGTGCCGATTTGTGTACAATTCCCACGGCCGCCTCCCAGGCTCCGAGGACCAAATGATCCGTCACGCAGCGGCCCAGCTTCAGCTCCTTTGCAAAGGCCTGAAAGTCCTCGCGACCAAAGCCCAGGCGAGTCACTTGCTCAAAACCAGGTAGTAAAACGGTCTACCCAGAACCATGTAAAGGGTTAAGAAGGCGGCCGCAACCATTTATGGTTGGGATTGCCCGTTGCTAATTTCATCTACCCGGGTTTTGATTGTGACTCAGGCAGGGTCTCAAAATACGCTCACATCGTCCCGTGCCATGTGGTGACCCTTAGATTTTGCACTCCAAAACCGACAATACACACAGCGACACTTGCTCCCCAAACTTGGAAAAGGAAGTCTCAGCGTTGGAGGGGAAGCAACAAGAACCTTCCAGTTTTGGGCGGGTTGGGCGTTTCGCAAAGATTATTGGAGCCCTAGAAAGCGCTAATGTCCCGCAAACTGGTGCCCTTCATTTTGAAACATACCCATTTTTTGTCAGAACACAAACTTTGCGTACGCATTGCAAACTTGGTTGCTGTTGACCCCATCTGCAAAAAGATTCACTCTTGTGGGTCCAACGGAAAATGCATCTCCCAAAAAGTCCAAGTGCAAAGATCCGTAAGCAAATTGCCAGAAAGCAAAATCCATCCTCAGGCGGTTCCCACCTCTTCGCCCTGGCCAGGCCCGCCAGCAGCTTGCAGGAGCCGCGAGACCGTGCCACCCTCCGGGAGCGAGTTGTGCATCTGAAGCAACGAGTGCGAGCCAAAGGTCGAGGGTTGTCGCTGACCTCTATAGTCATGCAATTCTAGCCGCTTTGCTCATCCGAGTCTTGTAAAGCTCCAACTCGCAAATCGTTGGACTTGAACAATAAGGAGCTGGGACCCAAGTCTTGACATTTACACTCAACAATTCTGCACGATCATTGATGTCCTTAGCTGTAAGTCCCACCCTTTTCAGCGATGGTTTGCTGGGTGTGGAGAGAAGGGCAAAAAGGGGCCACCTATCCTATCGAGTTGAAACTAGCGATCCCAGAATCACAGCAAAAGGAACCATCATGGGTGGTGCCACGGCTTGCGTTAAGGCACCCAATTGTTGTGCACTTTTCAGCTTGTAGCTACGCTGGTTGGAAAAGCCACTCATGGAACCAAAGGTGACACTCTGATCTGCCCCAAAACCTCTGAAATTTAAGCATATTTTCTCGGAGTTGGTGGTTGATTCCTCCTGAGACTGGGCAAAGCTCGATGGTGTTGCGTGTCCGCCGATGCAACCTTGAAGCCGAGTTGGGAGATGCCTCCGGCAAAAGCCTGCATTTCTTGGGGATCCCAAAAACCGCTTCGCTTCGTTTTAGTGGTGAGGCCGCATGGCAATGTTTGTGCAATTTTCCTCAAAGTGAACAAAAACCCGGGTACTGCCAAGGATAACCAGCATGAAATGACACGTTCCAGAGACCCTGATATTGAAGCATTTCGTCAAGAAACACAAGAAGGCTTGAAGGGAAGGCTTAGGGTTGTGGCAACTTGCTGCACTCACTGATCTGGATCCTCCACCCACTGGAGACCGTGTTCTTCTCTGACGAGGAACAACTTGGTGTCTGGAAGTCTTTTTATTTTCACCCTCAAAGGAGGTCTTTACATTTTTCACAGTTTCCATTTTTTTCCTGTATCTTTCCAGGTGTCTGCAAGAATCTATGGATATCCTGGATCTTTCCATCCCTGGATCTTTTCTTTTTTGGACTCTTGCGGAAACCAAAATCACGGACGATCCTTGCCACGCGCTTCCCTCGCCTCAAAGGCCAAGGTCTGAACTCGGCAATCGGCACCTCGCCTGGGCCAACTTGCATCCATAGGCTCCCCGGATTTCCCCTCCCAAAGTTGCAATTTTCTGGGTGTCCATTGAAACTGTCCGGAGAGCCGGGCGTGATTCCATCTGCTTAAGCCCCCTGGAGAGTATAAAAATATATTTCCGGTAGTGATAGATTCCCCTCAAAAGCAACAGGGAAACATTGAACAATATCAACTTAAGCAAATCGAAGCATGCTGTCTGTCCATGGTCGTCGTCAGTATCAAATATGACGTGCACCGTGCATCTTACTTGCCTATGCTAGTTGTCATTCCGGGGAAGACATTCTCATCCTCTTCAGAAAGAACATGATGGTCACTGCTCATGACTCGCTCATGCAACAATGTAACCTAACCACAATTTTCGGAACACATGGTTCGTGGTTCTTCCCATCTACAGTCCCAGTCCTCCTCCAGCAGCATATCACGGGTCGCAACAGGGAAAATCAAGTCTAAGCTGAGTTGCTCGTCCCACTCAGCGCGCATGCCTCAGTTCGGACTGCCGACCTTTTCAGAAAGCGTAACCGCACATGAGGATATACAAGCGATGGAAGAAGTTCCCCGCCCCGCCCCGCCCCACCCCACCCCGCCCCGCCCCGCCCCGCCTCGCTCGTTCAAGCAAGCAAGTAACCAACCAAGGCGTCTAGGCGACCAACCAATCAACCAAGAAACGGGCCTCATTTCGAACTAGACATGATGGAGATGATGCCTTGCAACAGCCCAGCAGCCTAGCAGCCGCCATCGCTTTTTCAACCGTCCATTTGAAGGACTTCCACACAAAGAAAAACGCAGCAGTTTGTAGCCAAAACTGCCGCTTTATTCTGGCATGAATTACAAAAGCCCGCACATGGCTCCACCCCAGTTGCCTTCCCCAGCCCTTCCTAAGCCCTTGCCTGGTCTGCTGCGCTGCCCACCCTGCCTTTTGCCAGGCCGGCCCGGCATGTCATCGAGGTGCCCCCCGGTGGCACGCAAGCGATGCGCAGTGACATGCAAGGGACACGTAGTGACACAAGCTGCACGCACGCAGCAGCGTCGACTTGCACCGCACGTGCACACGCACTCAGAACTCTGTGTATTGCTTTTTGCTGGGGGGGAAACTGGCATCCCCTGCTGCACTTGCTGCCAAGCCTGCTCTGACATTCCCCCTTCCATAATCGCTTCTCCCAAACAAAAAACCGTCCCCCCCCCCAAATGAATTAAACAAAAAACCTGGGGGGAAGTCTTATTATTAGGGGTCGCCGGTTTGTGCCTAGATCTAGTTGATAGTTTGCTTTTAGTATTGGACAGTGGATCTCCTTTGATTTGGAGCAAACACTGCTCAGATTGAAACTTTTAAGTAAGAACTTCGAAAGGGAGTGTCCCATGGTCAGTTTCATAAAACTATTTGCTTGTGTTGGGTTGTTTGGCGAACACACTCTGCAGGGGGGACCCCTAATAAGCATATTTTGGGAGCTTGGTGGAAAGCATGTGTAGTCTCAGGAGTTTAGTAGTGGTTTAGTATTGGCCAATTTAAGTTTAGTATTGCCGATTTTTTGCCGCGGCTCGGGGGAGTTTTGTTATTAGGGGTAGGTTGATTAATAGGAAGAAGTGATTAAGAGGTCATCAGGCAGGCACCTTTTTCCGCATTTAAACAATAATAGTACTTGAACTAAGTACGTCTTTTGCAAATGCTAAGTTCTGTCGACTGCGTAGTCCGTGGTGCCGGAGCGTGACACTTGGCCCAACATGGCATGGATATTGGGCTTGCCCCCAATAGGGCCCCTGCCGATGCTCATCAAGCGGTCCCCTTGACTGACCCCGGCCGCTGCGGCTGGGCCGCCTCGCGTCGTTCGGACACCAAAAAACGTCTCTTGGCGTGGGCCCGGGGGTCAATTGGTTTGCCAAGCTGCACAGAAGCTCGCTTTTTCAGCTGAATTGCTTGAAGAAGCATACCCAAACGCAACATTTCATGGATACAAGTAGAAAAGCCAGCAATGCCCGTATGGAAAACAACTCCTAATGCAGCCAGCCAGCTAGGAAAGCTATAACTCGGAAACCTACCGCTGACAGGATACCAACATACCGAAGGTGGCAAAAAACACAAGCAATGCCAATGGCGAATCACTAGAACGAACGATCAATGATTGCTGGTTCCTAATACATTGATGATGTATGTTGTCGCGAAAAGGTCCAGTCACAATCAACACCGGGTACTAAATTAGAACGGTCTACCCAGAACCATTAAAGAATGAAAGAATGCGAGTGCACCCATTGATGGTTGGGATTATCCCTTACGAACCTTCGTCTACCCGGGTTTGGACGTGGCTCAGGTGACGATTCGAATGGCCAATGAAATCTCTCGCCTTCGCGCACAGCCACCACCTCCAGCTCGACAAGATCTTCAGTACCGCTGCAGGGCACACCATTCACCAACCTCAGCGGCCAAACTCCGGCGACGGACCACACCACTTTCAGCAATTTTGGACATGGGAAAGCAGGGGGCTGGTTTGGCCTTTTAACCATGCAAGTCGGGTTTCAAAAAGCGGTACACAAAATGATAGCAACAACAAACAACGGAATGGGGTCTGGATGTTGCATGTCGGGGGTGGAAGAAACCTATGGCAAACCAATTGTGGTGTGATTCGGAGAAATTTGCCAGTATGGGTTAGCTTGCGCCAGGGTCTCTAACATGGATCCAACTTGGGATCTTGTGCGATACAGCGGGATATAATGGGACATATTGGGTTGGTTGACATCGACTCTGCATACTTGGCAGACATGTGCCAAACGGTTCAAGAGATTCTGATAGAACCGAGTGATAGAACTTTGCAGGTAGTCCATTCAACATGTATAGGGTCTGTTCCGCACAGTAGCGGACAGTGTTGGCTAGGCTTTTGTCGGGTTCCTGAAGTTGGCGAACGCCACAAACAGACTGTAGGTCATTCAAAACCCCCGAATGCTCCGGCAAGGATTGCCGAGACGGGTGCAACTTGCTCTCACCTTAAAGGGACAAAGTGAAAGGGAAATCACAAAAGCAATGTCCCAAAAAGCAAGGACCTTACCAGCACCCGCCAACCACTGCATTTTCCCGTGTCCAAAATCCCAAGTACTGCGACCAAAAAGCAGTAGTTGGGACCCGGGTGCAGGTCGAGCTTTTCGGGAGGCGGCATAACAATTCTTTCAGGAGCCAGGAATGCGGCTTTTTGCCCGGTCCGATGAATCCATCTGCACGAGTGACCTTGAGACTTTGCAGCCAGGCGACTTGTTCACATACCTGGCAAAAGGGCCGGAGCCCCATTTTAGCTTTTGCTTTGGCCCAAAAACAGGTCTTTCAGGTCGGAAAACAAAGGATCCGCATTGAAGCATGCAGACACAGCGTATGTGTGAGCTTCTTGCGCAGTTAAGGGCGCTTTGTTCTAGCGGCTTAGAATCCAAATTGTGTTTTCAAATCCCCGCCCCCAAGCATCACTATCCTTGGTGTGTTTCTTTGGCCCACATGGCAAATGCTTCGCAGTTGAGCATTGATCGAAATCAGTGTGCGGGCCAGAGACTCCAACGAAATGCCTCCGCGAAGGCCTACGCGGGGCTTCCGTGGCTGTGAGGGAAGCTTACGCGAGTGGGGTCTACATTGCAAACGCCTACGCGGCGCTTACGCGGATTGAGCTTTTTCGTGGAAGTTAGTCTTCGTGTCTTTTGGCTTACGCGAACACGGTGAAACCACAACAGCTGTGGAAACGAACCATCTTCGTAGAAGGCATCCAAGGAAAATACGCGAACCTTTCGCGAGTGGGCAAGTGGTCAAACCCTCCGCGACCTAGGCTCCTTAGGGAAAAACCACATGTTCAATCCATATATCCTCTCGAATACTACTTTCAATTGCAGGGTATTTAGAACCTAAACGGCTTGCGAATTGCAACACGAACCCCAGCAACTGGCCTAAAATATTGCTTTCTCTTGGGTATTTTGAAACATTGCGGTCTTGTTGCTCTGGACGAGGCCAACCATAACCAAGATACACGTGTGTTGTGAAATGGACGAGCATCCTATCGCCTCTGCTTGAGATTCTATGTTTTGCTTTAACACCATAGATCGCTGCTCAGTCATATTATGCCTATGAACCACCGTCCAGCATGTCTCAAGAACACCGCGCCTGGGCCGGCATATTTCATGGACCTGCACGTCATTCTGCCAGGCGAAGTCAACCGGGTACTCCACTAGAACCTCTTCACATCGGATTCCCCGCCCAGATTCCGACTGCGGAATGAGCTTGCGAGCTTGCGAATGCCCTAACTGAGGTTCCCCTCTCCTGGGGCTTTTTGCCGACCGCAAACGACACGAATTATGTGTGGGCCAGCAAATATCCAGCCCCATTCCTCGCCTCTTCAGCCCAACTTCCTCCAAACTGGAAACTCACAGCGTCTGCTCTGGGGAAAAGCATAGAACCCTCTTAGAGTTGGGTCGCTAGTGTTTCCCAAGTTGCTTACTATTGCTTTGTTGATGCGTTTTCCTCTTCCTCTAAGTGCTGTGGGTAATCAAGTTGCATTTAGGTGGTTACTTCCACGGTTGCACCAAACAAATGCCTGGAATCACAGGTTAATGATTGGCGGTGTCCGCGGTTCCACACCAAACCGCTGGAACTGGAAACCATCCCTTCTCGCCAAGCAGCGCAGCGAGGGCCCGGGGAGCTCTTGATGGCATGCCACTCCTGCACCAGCTGCAGAAGATGAGAGAGGCTCACACGCAAGTAGTTCCTCGGCTCTGGTGAGTGGGGGGGTGGGGTGAGTGCCGCTGCCTTGTATTTTTGTGCTTGCAAACTATATATAGCTATCATTCGATTCGTTTTGGTGCACTCACCGGTTTGATTGACTGACACAACACACCCCAAGCCGAAAACATTTGCAATTTGGCTGAAACCCTTCCAGAAGTGGTGTATGCAAGGTTCCCAGTCCCGCACCATGGCAGTGCTCACATGAAAACCATCCGGCTTTTACCAACGTCTTTGTGCCCGATCGCTGAGCGATGATCGCTGGGCTGGCGACCAATCAAGGGCACGGCCCCGCAAGCCTTGGGAGTCCGCACATTGAAGTCGGCTCGGTCAAAAGCAGCCAGGCTGTTGGGATGCCTGCTGCAACACATTTTCACCAAGCCATGAGATTTATAACACCAACCAGCTAAGTGCACAGCGTTCAGTGGGCTTACAAATCAAGGACATCTTGTTGGACATGTTTAACAAAGAACCCTGGCTGTTTTGTTCTCAAAACAACGCCCGGGTCCAACTTGTTGTGACAGGCCCAGTTCAAGTTTCAGAGTGCGACAACCACAGGCATTTGGCATACCCAGCGTCAAGTTTGGCAACACGCGCCTGCCATACACAACATCACCGTTCAAAAGGGAGGGTGAAGAACGACCCAGGTTGATGACGTCTGGAACTCCAGCGTTTCGAGGTTCCAAACTCTGGACTCTAGAATTTAGACACGGGTCCCTCTGAATGGTTGGTTTCCTCTGGGTTTCCAAAGAACCCGCCCCCAAGGTGAGAAGTAGTCCAACTCGTTTTAGCACTCAGCTCAGCAAATTCCACTCCAAACTCCCCCTGCTACACCGCACCTGGGTCGGTTTTCACACTGCAAGCCCGAAAGGGTCACTTGGTGGACGTTGGAAGGGGAGCAAAATCACATTTTAGCAGTTCAGTGGGGAATTCGCACTAAACCACAATAAGCAAACATGTAACATGTTTCCCAACAACAACCATGGTGAGGCCGAACTTAACAGGAGCCTTTCAGCAAGCACCGCAACCAGCGCGAGCCAATAGCCACCGAGTTAGCGAAGAACTGATTATTGATGCCGCAGATCAAGGCCGTGGCTCCCATCCCTCCAAGGTCGGAATTATGTGACCCTTGTGATGCCAAAGTCGGTGACAGGAGGTGACCATTTTGCCAATTCGCTTGGTAATGTTGACTCAGGATGAATAAACCCGTCCCAGTATTAGGGGTGTTCCCTAAAGTGGTCTGAATCCCCACTAAAAGGGAACACCCACCCATCAAGATCAACCAGGGGTTCTACTTAGATCCGATGGCCATGGGTCAAAACCCAGTACCCCCATCATTCCAAGGCTTTTTGTGAGGTGCAGGATTCTGTCCATCCACAGTATGTCCCCCATCGCTTTCCAGCATCGCTCTCTTCCGAGTCTCCGCCTCCGCTTGCGCTCCTCCCGCTGATCTGGAGATAGCGTGTCCAAAGCCAGCCTTGCCGCCCGACGCGCCTGACCAAACGGCAGGGATTTCACCGAGCGGTCCAATTCGATTTTCTTCCCAAAGCAGGGGAAGATGAAACCAGACATGCAAATCCAATCTTCAGCTTTTTCTCCCAGTTTCTTGTTGGGGGTGGTCATGGCAAAAGAAGGCCGCATTTTTTCGTGCTTCTTTCAAAAGCTTGTTAGAGCGTGTTTAAGTTTCGGGTGGGTGAGGGTGGCCTTTGGGTGGTGCAGTTCAGGGTAGGTTTAGGGTTTCCACAGGGCGACGGGTAGTTTCAGGGTGGATTTGAATGGGTTCAGGGTGAGTTTGGGCTTCCGGTGAGTTTAGGGTTTAAGGGGCTTCGGGTTAAAAAGAGCTGCCGCCCTCCGCCGACCCCTCCTATGGCACCGGTGGTATTCCAGCCAAGGAAAAATCAGCTCTGGTGGAATCACCGTCCCCAACCTGCATCGGCGGAAGTGGCTTGTTGGATCTCTGGGAGGCTTGCAAAGCAAGGAAAGGTTTAAGTAGGATAAAATCTGGCCCCGCCGCCCGCCACGTGAGCAGACCCCTGTTATGGTGATGCATCTCGCCATTGAAAATGCAGCCGTGCAAGGATGGAGACGGATCAGTTTATGTGTTGGCCCTCAGCGCCATCTGTTTGCACATGCTGAAACACAACCGGCCGCCCTTGGTCCAACATGAGCCTGGCGCACTGACGTGAACGCAAAGCCTGAGCAACGAGTTTCGCACAAAGTGCGGTTGCAGGATTTCTGTCTGCGTCTTCCTTCGAAGACAAGCGGCAACATAGCCACTGTTCGCAACGGACTTCCGTCGAAATGTGGCTGGTAGAGCTCCGTAAGAGCACTTCGCGTGCGACTGAGAACACGAGCTCGGATCTTCCCAGCCTTGGGCGTGTGCGCGCGAGACACAGACACAAAACGCGACTGCGTTGTAAGCCTTGCGCAGCAAACCAGTCACTGCACCAAAGAAAGCCTGCGAGTGAGCCCCAGTGCCAGAAAACCAGCTTGCCCTGCGCAGCGGATGATTAGCTGGCAGTGCCCAGACAGCCCCAAAACACCCCCAGCATCACCAAACAAGGACACACTCACGCAGCCAGTACTGCCAGGACAGCCAAAAATGAGCTTGCCCGTGCAGCTAAGTTTGCAGCGGCCCCAGCATCCCAGTTGAAAACGATATCAGAATGTGAGAAAGATGTGATTGGATCTGCCGCGTAGCAGGACTGCCGCAAGTCTTCCCGTGTGCCGCCTCGTTTGATGAAGGCAAGGGTTCGGCGAAGCTTGGGCCACGGGTTGTGGGTGCTTTGCGGGATAGGCTGAGGGTGGGTGGATCTTCGATTTTTTTGGGCTTGCTTGGGTTGGCGTAGGGTGAGTTTAAGGTAGGTTTATGGGGGTGGGTAGGGTGGGGTGGGGTGGTGGGGGCGGGGTGGGGTGGTGGGGGCGGGGTAGGGAAGGGTCGCTTGCTCGCTTGCGAGCGTGCATGCTTCTGTGCTGCTGCGCTTGCTTGCTGGCTTGCTTCTTTGCTTGCTTGCTTGCTTGCTTTCTTGGCACTGCAACAACCCCCCCAGTTTCAGCAGGAACAAGTTAGACACTGTAACACCGGTGAAAGAACTCCTCGCCGCATCGCAGGCGCGGCGTGACTAGCTTTCGGGCGCAAACGTAGTTGCCCTGAACAGTGCAACGGTTAGTCTCACTCCCACTAACGTGTTCAGTCTGGCCCTGAAGAGCGTCGCGCACCAAGACTTGCAACACCGTGTGTGCTACGGCGATTTCTTCCCAGCCTTCAACAGCTCGCTGATCTTCTTGCAAGCTTCCCTAAGCGAGCGACAAACCCATTCCCGCAACTACACATGGCACGTGGCGCTTCAGCCAGCCCTCACTTTGCGCCAAGCTGCTTGGAGAAGACCATCTGCAAGGCCAGCCTGCGGCAAGCGTCCGCCAATCACAAGGGCTATCTTTGCAGCAGTTCAACCAACTGAGCGGGGGCTTCTCGGGACCAGAATTCGTGCAAGGGCTGGCTTCGCGAGACTTCGCGGCAAGACTGTGGCTTCGCTGGGTGGGGACGTTTGTTCCACAAATACATTTCTCAACTGAATGAAGTTGAATCTGTGCAAAAGGTGGCGATGAAAGGCGGCAAACCTCAGAGCATGGGAGTTGGCCTGCGGCGTCTTCGCGGAGGCTTCGCAAAGGCTTCCCGAAAATGGTCCATCGTTTCTAGAAAACCGGGTCTGGAAAGCACAATGCTCTTCCGGTAGTCTTCCTGTCATCCTTCCTGTAGTGTTGACATAGTCTTCCCTCAGTCTTCTGCAAGTGACTCTAAATGATGGCATGCTACTGCCACGAAAGCACATAACAAACTCGAATCCGCCGACACCGTCACTTTTCGTGCATTCGGGCGTGTCCCGCAGGTACAAAACATCATCATGGATTCCCATCACTTCATTCCAGTTGCATCCCACGCCGGGAGACCGGTCCTACCAGTCCCGGGTCTAGGACTGGGCCCAGGACGCGTCCCAGTCAGGACCGGTCCCAGCACCAGTCCCAGGACCAGCGTCGGACGCAACTTGATGTGAATGAGGCACGTCCCGAACCGCGATTAACGGACGGGCTCCCAAGTGTGTGACTTTTCCGTTAAGTCCGCCCCAGAGCATGAGGCCCTGACTTTCCGTTAATGCCGCCCGAGATCCGCCCCTGTCGGCTCGAGCAGTTTCGGGAGGATCCCTGGGAGGACTTTGGGGAGGGGACTGGCGTGGCTGCAGACAGCCCCGACCCACAGCCTGACTGCCGAGGGGTGCCATAAGCAATTAGCCTGCTAGCTAGGGTTTAGGATGTATGCAGGGTTTGGGCCATGTGGCTGACATCATCTGGGCCTGGGTGATGCTTCAGCGCGGCTTAATCCGCATCATCAAGACTTCCTTCCGAAAAGCCTCTCAACCCATAAAGCACTGTTTTTAGAAGGTATCGGGGGGATATTAGCGAGGCTCATTTTCGCATGCCGGCGATGCTGGGTCCTCGCTCTACAAAACGCTGCAAATCCTGCAAAAAACTGCTGTGCTCAGCGGTGGGCTGTTGTTCTGTCCGTTTTGCTTTTGCTGTGGCTGGCTCGCGCGCTGCGCGGTCCTTGCTTTTTCCCCGTTGGTTTTCGTGCCTTCTGGCGCGCGCGTTTGCGTTTCCGGGCTGGCTTGCGGGCTGCTCTTTTTGGGCTACTCTTTCTGGGGCGCGAGCCCGGCTGGGGCCAAGAAAGCTGGCATGCCCGGCATCATCTGGGGTTGGGGTGGGCAACGTGCATTAACCTAACCAGCCATATCATAGCACAGAAACGTCTCATACAAAACACATGACATGACGTGGTATAACTTCAAAGAGGCGTAGCCGGCTAGAGGCCGCAGGCCCAGACAATAAACCACAAAGTGGCTTCGCAAAGTGGCTTTGCCTGTCACCGAGCTACGCGAAAAGCTTCGCGGGGCTTCGCGGCACACACTGACACTGTATCACACAAGTGCCTTCGGGGACCTTTGGGGAGTTCCGTACTAAAGCTAAAATCGATCATCTTATAATAATGAAAACAAAACAAAGATACTCATTTAAAAACATGTCTGGTGATAATAGCATTCTTGCAGCGCGAATCGTATTGATGCAAGCAAATGCCTTCAGCACACGTCTGCCACACCGCCAACACAGCGCCCATGTATTCTTCTTACCCAATCAGCGGAGACTGCCTTTTCAAAAAACTTGCAATTCAATTATGACCTCAACGGACTGTGGACAAGCGGCACAGGTTAGAGGGTCTGCTTAAAGACTTATACGGTATATGGCAAAACTGCCACACTGTCACCTGCCAAAGCGCCACTGACAGCTGTAACACACAGCTGACCCACCTGAAACAAATTTAACTCCCGGAAGCGAAGCTTGGGAAGCTTGGCCGGAGGACATGATTAGTATCCCCTCCCCTGGGGTTTGCCTGGCTTCCTCGGTCCTCAGTGCCCTCCGGTCCTTTCATTGGGCAAACAAGGGACGTTTTTGAAGCAGGGGTTTTGGGAAGTGCCGCCCAAAAAAGAGGGTTCTTGGCCAAAGCGTGGGTTCCTTTTTAGCAGTATTCGCTCATGTTCGCTACCAATCGGCTAGGAAAACCAGGCGTCTTTAATCAAAAGAACCCCAAGACTTGACGTGCGAGCACAGAGGCCGCAACCTCACGCTGCTCTCATCCAGGCCCTGCACCAACTGCAGCAAGGTCCTCTGAAAGCTGGCCGCAGGCTGCCTCAGGGAAGTCACGGCTGCCCTTACCAAACCCAGAATTGTCATTGCCTTCTTACCCTGTCTGAGCCAAACGTGAGGATGCGAACCATCATTTCTATGCTGTTGAAAAAGCAGCAAACACCAATCTGGCCCCTAATATTAGAGTTGGCCCTCAACCGTGTTTTTTGGGGTAACCCCCTTTTTTGTTCAAAGGGGGAGCAGAATTCGGCTTTCGACAATCCAGGGCTTTCGGCCGCAAGCATCTTCAACTGTTCCGTCCAAGTCAAAGTTCCCTTTCCACACGCGATTCCACAGCAAGCCAGCGCGGCGGCCAAAATTGAACCACCTTCTTAGGGCAACCCAATTTGGGGTTATCCAACTTTCGCCCCGCACCCATGTGTGGAATTCCTAGTTTGGTTCACAAAACGACACCCGTTGGAGAGAAGCTAGGAGGGAGAGAGAGTGAGAGTGCTGCAAACGTCTTCACCCCAGCCATCCAGTCAAGCAGACTCCTACGCAGCTGCAAAACTCGAAGGCTGTTGGTGGCTTGGGCGTATTTCTCCAGATAGCTGAAAACTTTGGGGCTCCAACTTCTAATAAAGAAAGTGATTTGCGAGATTGATGGCTCGGTGCTAGGGGGGTTGCAGTTTCGGGTGCTGGTGCTGGTGCCGTTCTTGCGTGCTGTTGGGGGTGCTGGTTGATGTGCTGGTGAGAGAGAGGGCGCGCTTTTGAGAGACTTGCGGCCGGGTGCTGCTGTTTGCGGGGTGACGGTGCGAGCACATGCTTCCAAGATTGATGGTGCCGCATTTTCTCGAGCTGTTTGGGCGCTCTTCGCGTCTGCTTGAGGTGCTGGTGGGCCTGTTTTCGCCATCTGGGTTCGATGCTGGTGTTGTTTGTTGACATTCCGGAGGGCCTTTGTAGTCAAGGGGATTGACCGCTTTCCATGGCCCCACGCAAACCATGGGAATGTCACCTGACAAAGAGATCTAGCGGCGCGCCAGCACGCCATAGCTGGCAATTGTCTCAAGCTTACAGCAACAGTTCACCTGATTCATCCGAAGGATTCAGAGATCTAAACTCTCTCATGCATGTTTTCAAACAGCTAATGAGTGTCAAGCACTTCTATCAAAACTACTAGCGGCGGTCCTCAGAAAACGCAACCACCTCGGCATTTTGACCAGTGAGCTCATAAGATGACCAGGATTCTTCCGATCTTGAGCGTGTGCGGGGCGTAAGGCGTGCACGCCCTGACAAGAGTCTGCGCACGAAGTTGGGTCCTTGAAACAGAAAGACACATTCTGAGTGACTGACTCTCATTCTCCAGCGTGATGATTCTACTTGCTGAGGGTTAAACTTTCTTTCTATAATCCTGGGGCATATGGGCCTTGCCATGAGCCCAAGTCGGGCAAACAGAATCGCATCCAGGGCACACCTCCTTGGCGATCGTGCCAGTGGGGACCTCCTTGGCGCGCATCGTGGCAGCACGGACCTCCTTTGCCGTGGCAGTGGTGGCGATCTTCCAGGCGTCGGAAATGTGCTCAGAGGCCCGCTGGGCCCGCTGGGTCCGCTCAACCAGCCTCGGGATAAGGCACCTTATCCCGTAACCGTGTCTGAACCAACATGCCTGTGGGTCAAAAAAGGGTAATGGAAACAAAGACTAAAGCCTGCGTCACACTTCTTTACTTTCGAGCCACACATGGGTTCTTGCTAGAGTTGGGCTGTCACGTTGGGCACCAGCATGAGCCCAACCGTTTTGACAAAAGGCCATGTTTATTCCGATTGGCAGAGGCAAACAATTAAGGGACTATGCTGGATTTTGGAAAAGCCTGGCAAAGAAGCAAAGCTTGCAATGGTTTGATGCCGGCATATCCGGCGTCTGGTATCTCAAAAGCAAGCAAATACACATAGCGCCCGGACCAAACGAACTTCATGCTGTTTGCCCAAAAACTTGAACCTTTACACGCCATTCAGAGTTTGCTATGGACTCTACATCACCGACAAATATACAGTTCACAAAGGTGGGGCAACGCAGAACAGGGCAGCCTGATCTGGTTGGTGTTCAGAGGAACGACACTTGTTTGGATAATCGATCTGTTGAGGCAACGAACTCCCAGCCAGCAATATATATATATAATTATTGATTTATTACGGTATATTTGAGGTGCTGGTTTAGCTGCCTGCAAATTGAAAGGCACTACATGGGGCAACTGTTGCTTCCCACTGGCCCACATCCACTTGTTGCATGGCCGCGACCCGAAGTTCGCTTGACTCCATCCCCTGCCATGGCGCTTCCGAAAGGCCGGCTGCGGCCGGCGGCACTGGTCACTGAAAGCCAGCCTGCCGGTGGCCTGAGGCCCAAAACCACGTGGAAGCTGTTCGAGCTGACAAGAATCCTAGCGCCTGACTGCTTCACCAAGACCCACCTCACCTCACAGCCAGCCAACATTCGCAAACACAAGGCCCTAGCCCGGCCAAAAAATCCAGCCTGCCAGCTTCAGCCATAAGCAGCCTATCTGATGAATGCGATGCTGCACATCTGGTTCAACCAACCGACCCAGCGAACGCTATGCAACAACAACCTGATAGAAACCATGAACCCCAATGCAGATTGCTTGCCAAAAGCTACCGCGTAACTCCTGCGGTAAGACTCTTCGGGCAGCATGTGCTGTGCGACACACATCTGCAAGCAATGCTGCAGGCACTACAACAGGTCAGTGCGCAGTGTGTCGCGAAAAGATTGCGACAGACTGCTCCATTGCCCTTCTGGCGCGCAATTGTGATCTTTCTTTGCATCGCTTTCTTTGCGACAGCCTTCGCAAGCTGCCATCTGACTTGCACGCCGTGCTTGCACGCTTGCTGCGCTTGCTCTCTGCATTCGCGTTCTTTATTGGTGCGATTTATAGGCAGCCTTGCTCCGCAAACTGTATTTGCATGACCGAAGACGCATCAAGCGCAATTTCCCAATACAATCCCCCAAAGCCATGCCCAGCAACATCCTCCACAAATCAAGCCCCTTTTCTTTCTTGGAAAACCATTTGTTAGAGGCGGCTTTGACTCCCAAACACCTTGTCCAATACACACCCTGCAGCAGCACTCTTACTTCCTTGTTTGGAACAGCACCCAACCGCACCATCCCAAGAACTTCCCAAAGACAAATCTTCCAGGACAGTGCCACCAAACCCCAAAGACCCGCCTAAGACATCTGCATCCCAAAGACACCCCCAAAGACATCCCAAGACACTCCCAAAAGATATCCCCCGAAACACGGTCCAACGACATCCCCAAAGCCACTGGCGAAAACATCGCCCAAGACAACCGCAAAGACAATCCACCATAGACATGCCGCGAAAGACATGCCCTGAGGATATACCGCGAAGACATCCCCCAAAGACGCAAAGGCCTCCTCCAAAGACATCCCCGCAGAATCTGCAAGAGAGTGACGCAAATGCGCAACCTTCCAAAACACTGAGACTGCGCAGCACCGTAGCAACCCTCACCAACGGCACGGCAAGGCTTTTCACTTGCGTTGCGGACGCAACGACACATCTAGCGAACGCATAGTGACCCGCAAAACCCTTCTATAACGGAGTCTTCTGGCAACCCATTCGGTAACCTTCGTTCCCAATTTTATTTGATGGTAGCCCAACAATTCTCTCGTCTTTCTTGGGTTCTGAAGCCTTTCACTACTACTTCAGATCTCAACCTCTTTTCAACTGGAGGAAAGTATGATTCATCAGGGGGGGCCTTTGTTCGGGGAGGAAGAGTATGCACGGTCTCTCCACTGGCTGGGAAAGGAGCTCAGGAGCTTGAACATTGCTGGCCCGTGCTTCAACATTTAGCAACCTTCAGCGTCCTCGCCTGGTTTGGCCTAGCAAATCATGCCCACATTGCTCAAGCGACACGTGGTGCAAACATCTGCTCGAATCTGCTAAGACCAGGCTGCGCTTAACATTGCAAAGTCTTACCCCGTACCGGCCGTTTCTACGCGGGTGTCTTCTTGCATTGCTAACCATGGGATGCTTCACCCTGGCGTAGACTTCAACTCTTCTCCAACCAGCATACCTGAAACCTGACAGCTCGAATCGTGGGCCGGCCTTAAATCCTGAGGACAGCTTTGTAGACGCTGCAGACACCGCGGCGTCGGCTGTATCCGCGGTGTTGCCTGCAACTGGGGATCCCATGCTTCAGGAAATCGCAGGCTTCCCGCGACGAAGCGGCACCAGGTAGACTGGCTTGTGCAAATGCTTGTTTGAGACCCTTAATCGTGTTAAGGGCGCATGAACGGAGAAAGCAAATAGGAATTTGCGGTGCAAATCACACATTAGGATGACAAATTCATCCTCATCAAACCTCAACATGCACACACACACACACACAATGGACATCAAGCTTCAGCCACTTCCAACCAACCTTGGCTTCTGCTGCTCACTGATGGTTTCTGTCCTTGCCCAATCCCGAAACCTTTCAACCCCGCCTGGTTCTCGCATGAAGGCGCGGGCGAACCTTAAGGATTAAGCTCACCCCATACGAAGGTGTGCTCACCACCATCCGCCATGACTAAACTACATATGGCTTGTTGAAGATCTTGCTTCTTCCTGGGTTGTTTGGGCTATGGGAAAGTAGCATAAATTTTGTAACCAGTGTCACTGCCAGCATGCTCAATATGGGAGTCATGCGTGCAATTGAATGTGAATCCTAAACGATGTGCATCACGCACACAGACACATCACACCCTTAGAGGAGAGGATGAACTCAACATGCACAATTTCTACTCAAACCTATTCCCCGACCCCCCAAACAAGCCGAGCTGCGGATGAACAAGACTTCACCAGTTGGGGTGGACGAAAGCCTCTGGGATAAACCATTGGTGTGAATGGGATTTGTCTATCCACAGGCCTCAACTCTAAGCCCCTCACTGCGAGTAGCTCAAGCGCACTCCAGCAGCCGCTGCCGTAGGCAGCCCTGCCTGCAAGGCGAGTGCGCCCAGCGAGAACCACATCAACAACCTGGTGGTCGCTGGGTGGCGTGGGAATTGGCGTAGCTTTTGGCTTAGAGAACCTGCTTGGGGGGGGGGAGAATCAAAACTAGTACGGGGGAAGGGGGGGGGAATCAAAACTAATACGCTTCCCATGGTTGGTGGCCCGTCTAGACCCCAAAACGGGGATTCCGCCATCATCCCACTTTGTGACTTGTGCCAGACTCCTGCGAGGGCTGATTTGGCGAGTCCTTTTCTGAATCCCAACAGCTTTATTCCAACACTGAGAAAAACTGCACATCCGCATGGCTTCATCATATAGTTCAGTATACGTTCCAGCTCAACCAATTCACGTGGCTGTTCAGCTATCATACCCATGATCTAGGAGGCCAATGATATGCAAAACTCATGTCCCTAGCAGCCCCCTTCAAAACAACTTCGGGTGTGCAAAGAGCCCCAGACTCCATATTAGCCTCCTTCTTTTCGACAGCATGAAACCGGATGGGGTGTTGTAGCTGTTCAAAGTCCTCCACATTTTCAGAAACACACAGCCACCAGAACCCTCAAAGCGTAGGCAAGCCTGACTGTGAAGGTGACAGTAGTCATAGACCGTCGCTCACATGTCTCCTGAGAAAGACAGGATGCTATTTTATGACAAGACCATCGCCAAAAACTGATCCCCCCCCAGCACCTCGTGCACCGCGGTCTCCCAGAGGGCAGTCAAGACCTCAACATGATGCGCGCATCCGAATGCACTGCACTTGGCCTTCTCAAGCACTGCACATTCCAAGAAGGAGCCCTACATTGCCACTTCTTTCTAGGCCCAACCTCGGCCAACACAAAATTTCTATTGGCCTGCCTGACTTCTGGCACACTCGCAACAGATCAGGAGAGGGAGCCTCAAACGTTTCGACCGCGGGGCTTCCAAAGGAAGAGTCATGTCCAAGCGCAGCAACAGGTCGTCCAGGTCGTCCAAGCCCGCAGTGCCCGCTTTGTCCTTGGATGCCTGGCGCGATGGAAGGCGAAGGCCATAGCAAACTCTCTGTCTCTCTCTCTCTCTCTCTGCCTCTTCCATCTAACAACACGTGAAGCAACAAATACCTCATTTCTTGTAATCCTGTCCCTGAAGCCTCCCCACTTGAGTCAAAGGTCCGACGAATTGGAAGAGGGCGGGAATCGGGAAGACATTTCAAGGCCCCCCCCCCCCCCCCGGCGCCTTGGCGGTGACGCTGCGGAACAGCTCTGGCGCCGTAAAGTCGGCGAGCAGATGCCGCAGCGCGTCCTGCTTTCCGATCGCTCATGTGACTCGCCGGTCCCGTTTTGGGGTGGACTCAGATGCCGCAGAACCCGTTTTGCCTAAGGGCCGGGCCTAAGATTCAATTGCTTGTTCCAGGGCATGCGTATTCTTGCGTACACAAATTGCCAGCACTGTGCATGCCCTCTGCTTGGATGAGGCGCAGCACAGGTGTTTGGCTTTTGCCGCGCCACCTTACTGTCAACAAAGTGTCGCGCCCGTAAACATGGATGATAGCAGAACATCGACATGCCCAAGCAAATTCATCCCACTCCAGCACACCAGGCTGATACAATGACCTGGAACATGTTGCACTTGCTCCTAGGCGGTAGTTCATGTTTCGGATTCTCAAATCCAAGAAGCTCCTCATTTAATCTCGTGTCATGTTCTGAAGCAGGCAGAC